AACTGATAGGCACAGCTGCAGTAGCTGTAGCTGGACTCCTGGCTGCCCTCCGGATCACCAGAAGCAAAATGTGTGACCACACCATTGTGTTCCAAGGGGCAGGAGAGGTGAGTGCAGCATGAATGCACAGTATAAATAATAATGTCCTTTTTCTGTGTAAAACTTTATTTTTCAAAAAGAAATAGATGAGTAACGTGCTTTGGTTTCGTCACAGCGTAGTTATGAAAACCATCACTTGTTCTTAATTAATCTTTCCCATCAAGATGTTTTAGTTGGTACGAAACAGCTTCTCTTCTTTCTGTCTCGCTCCCAGGCTGCGATGGGCATCGCTGAGTTGATCACCATGGCCATGGAGAAGGAGGGACTTACCAAGGAGGAGAGTTTGAAGAAAATCTGGATGGTCGATTCGAAGGGACTCATTGTTAAGGTGTTTATCTGAGCGGGGACAAGTAGAGATGTAGTTTAGTTTCTGTTGCACTGAATATTTTTTACACGCCATAATGCACAAGAAAGCCTATATATGATCAGTTATCTTTATGCGGGCGATTGCACCATGAGTTAATTTAGAGTCATGCTGAACAACAGGCATCACAAACTGGTGAAAACAGGAGGTAGTTTTGTTACTCCATTCAAGTTTAGGACTTGTGTTTGAGAGCAGTTTTTAGACTGACATTTGCACTTTCATCTGTCACATTTACTCTTTATCTTTACTTCCTTCATTTTTATTTAGCTATATGTTAAACTGATTTGATTTAGAATGATGCTCACTTGGTCAGGTATTTTTTTGTCAACATTTTTCACGTTCTTTGTCAACACTGCTGTTTATCAGCTTAAAAGTTCTTGTAAGTACAAAAAGTGTCAGCAGTAACCTGTGTAATGAAAACCATCACAAATGATAAAATGTAGAGTTGGAGTTGAATGAGAACAGACTGAAGAGTTACTAAAACACTTCACAGTGGACTCATCCACATTTATTCAGTTTAATGTTTTGTTTGGAAATCTTGGGTCTTGATGCTCTCCCTCTTGTTCTTCAGGGTCGAGACCACCTGACTCACGAGAAGCAGGTGTTTGCTCATGAACATCCTCAGATGAAAAGTTTAGAAGAAGTGGTCAGAGAGCTGAAACCCACCGCTATCATTGGTAAACCAAGTTACTCAGTTTTTGTTAGTTAATAAATTTCATGATTTTTAATTTTCATTTTACTGCAAGTGTAAAGTGAAATACGTGGGACAGTAATGGTCTTCTGTCTTAGGTGTGGCAGCTGTTGCTGGAGCCTTCTCTGAGCAGATCATCAGGGACATGGCTTCCTTTAATGAACGCCCAATCATCTTTGCTCTCAGCAACCCAACCAGCAAGGCTGAATGTACAGCAGAACAGTGCTACACGTACACAGAGGTGCTCACAGCTTTCCTTGTTACATTTCAGTCAACAGTTTTTGTTCACCTGTAATGAATTGTTTTAAAGTACGTTTGTACTCCTTGGTGCTGCAGGGCCGTGCCATTTTTGCTAGCGGCAGTCCGTTTGACCCTGTCACCCTGCCTGATGGGAGGACGTTTTTCCCTGGTCAGGGCAACAATGCCTACATCTTCCCCGGTGTGGGCTTGGGTGTCACTGCTTGCACTTTACCACATATTACTGAGGACATCTTCTTGACTGCAGCAGAGGTGAGACAACATTATAACAGAGGACCCACAATAGCTAGGTTTCAGTCACATGGTTTTGATGGTGCGCAAATTTCAATGGAAGAAACCACTGTAGTGTCCGTATTATATAGATTAAGTTTCAAGACAAAGACACCACACTCTAAAAATGAAATGTTGGATTTACTTAACCATGTTATGTGACCTGGTTCCACTTAACTGAGTTGAGTAAAATCAAAGCAACATACTCGTGTTCTTTGGTTAAAAAACTGGTATATTGCTTTGAATTTACTCAACTCAGTTAAGTGGAACCAGGTCACATAGCATGGTTAAGTAAATCCAACATTTCATTTTTTACAGTGCAATAATTAGTTGACAGTTAAGTCAGATGTGACCCATAGATCATGAAGATGAGCTTGAAGATTTACTAACAATGGAGGCTGTTGATGTCACAAAATATCTGGTCCTTCAGATGTCTTATGTCACCAAACAGCAGATCAAAGCCTACAAAAGTGTAGAACTTTTTTGATAATGATAATTATTTGGTCTTCACCAGGGTGAGTGTTTGTTATTTTATATGTATATATATAAAAAGACCAAAAAGATCAAATTAAGTCCATATTAGACTGCCAGTAACTCAGTAAAGAAGACCATTAAGTAAATGAGCATTTTACGAAAAACAGTGCTGTATAARCATWGCCACAAAAATYGTTAGCTAGCTAACATACMTCTGAGAAGTGGTYGCTGCAGATGCCGGCRTTAGCCGACTGTGCTCCTCCCGACCGCAGGTGTAGTTTTAAAATCCACTTCTTACAGTATTTTTCTGTGAGCTTTCTATATTTCTCCCCTTTGTACCTCTTTTACAAAACTACACAAGACATGAGCATTTTTTCACATGGCACATCGTCTGGTACTTCACTTCCTGCCCCATCTGCATTTTTCACTCTTGCTGTACTGCATTGTGAYGTCACATGAAAACACTATTGTCTTGTACCAAAACRTGCAAAACAGGAGTGTATGATATACTCTAAATTCAAATAAACATTTAAAATGAAGAAATATTAAAGACAAAGATTTACAAAAAGCCGTGACAACGGCAGCATTACTCATTGCTTGCTGGTTTTTCTAATACTGACAGAATTTTAGTATGGATTCAAGTCACTTTATAAAATAAATGTGCTTCTTCTAACGTTTTCTATTCTGTTTGGTCACCATTTAACAGGCTCTAGCTCAGTTGGTGACGGAGAAAGACCTGGCAGAGGGAAGACTTTATCCTCCTCTCAGCTCCATCAGGGACGTTTCTCTTAAACTGGCCGTTAAGGTGAAAAGCTACGAGTATAAAACACATTCTGTATCATGTGTATCCAGATACATTAAGGCTTACCACAGCATTAAAACTGCAACTAACAACAACCTGTGATTACAGATTGTGGAGTATGCGTATGAGCACAACATGGCCACACTTCGCCCGGAGCCATCAGACAAAGCAGCCTACGTTCACTCCATCTGCTACAGCACTGACTATGATGACTTTGGTGTTGACTCATACTGCTGGCCTGAGGACTGTGTGACTGTGCAGTCATGTAAACTTTGATCCTCCAGACACAGAAACTACAAGAGCACTGAAATATGCAAAGTAACTACTGATGTGCAATGTTATCTGAAGACAAGATGCTGGGAGGGGAGAGGGGAGCATGGCCACAGGGGGGTCTGTGTACAAAATTTACCCACTAATATATTCCTATACTTTCAAATGAATACTGACAACACAAGAAAGATCAGTTAGCAGAATCGTAAWGAATTGCACAAATGGGTTTCACATTACTTTAAAGTGAAATATCTGGGGAAGGTGTTTTTGGAGGTTAATGTTGATTGTACTGTGATAGACATTCACTTTAAGCCTGTGTCTACAAAATCTAAAAAAAAAAAACTCTTGCCAAATAAAGTTTTGATTAAATTTCCTAATTCCTGATTTTGATATGGCTGGTTTTTCAAAATTGTTTTGTTTTGTTTTTTGWTTTTTTGTTCTTTGGTAAGATTCTCTGAAAGTTATATGAAGTAAAACAAATCGGAGTATTTTGATGCTCTGGCTCCATCTAGAGCCAGTTGTTGTCATTAGCCAGCTCATCATCAACCCTTCTGCTGAGTTCAAGTTTCACTTAGAAGCTTAGTTGTTTGTTTGTTTGTTTGTTTGTTTGTTTGTTTGTTTGTTTGTTTGTTTGTTTGTTTGTTTGTTTGTTTGTTTTTAGACTTCTCAGACTGAAGAAGTCTCTTGGAGGAGAGACGAAACGTTTCATTAGAGAAGAACCCGTCCAGAAGACCTATACAATTTTTTTCTTTTTGTTTGTTTTTGTTTTTATTTTGTTTGTTTGTTTTCTCTCAAAAAAGAAGAACAAAGATTTAATCCAGTTATTTATAGATTTTGTAACTTTATCCATATAACTCATCTGACCAGGCAAAACTCTGTTTTGATTAGTCTTAATATATTTAGTGTGTTTTATTACAACTTTGTACATCTGTGATGTTCCAGGTAAAAAAAATGACTGATCATTAGAAATATGACTACTGGTCTTCACAAGGTAGGTGTGTATACCAGAAACAATCCTAAATAAGTAACAAAAACAAGTACACACAAACACACAAAACAAATGTTTTAATGCATTTTGACAAATTGTGTTACCAACTGTCAAAATGTTTTTAATACATTTTGACAGATGGTAACACAATTTGTTTTAACTGTGAAGACAAAATAATTGAAATATGTTTTTTCTCCATTCAAAMCAGAGCTGCATGAGTTCAGATCTTTGAGGACTGCAGACCATAAAAAATAATTTTAATAGATTTATAGTTTGTTAAAACATAATTTAATAAGATTAGCATTAGGTGATGTTTTACATAATAATTTATTATCAGATATATTGAGGCAAAACTAGTTTAAAAAAGAACACAACTGGAAGATTAAAGCAGTTGAACAGCTGCACACATCCAGCAGGACACCGCTGTCTGAAACTAACTGAGGATGAGTTTACAGTTTTAAATCAATCACTCAATAACTAGGCAGACAGTACCAGAGACCTTGGCTGGACCGCTGCCCAACCTTGTCAATACACCCAATAAGCAAACAGACCAGTCAGCGTGGAGCGTCCCACCCAGGGCAGTCGTTTGGTCCCCCCCATATTTATTTTATTTATCCAAGTTCCCAAATGAGCCTCAGGCAGCCCCTGCTCTGTCCTGATGATCAATATGTCTCAATGTCAACACCATGCAGCTGCCAGCTAAAGTGTCCAGACCATGAGTGGGGTCTCACTGCAGCACAGGAACACTCTGTTTAGTTTGTGTCATAGAGTTCAGTTTGCCATTTAACCTGCTTGTTGAGACGTAGTAGCTCTAAAAAATACCTAAAACATGTTATGTCTTTCTGCTAGGTTCCATTATTTACTGTATAATATTAATTTGTTTACAGCTGATCTCTTAGCTAGCTATAATGCTAATTTGAACTTTATTCAACTAAAAGTCATGTTTAGTCATCCAGACCCCCCTGAGTTGAGAAATCCCTGCAGGAAGCAAAACTTCATTACAGAATAAATGCCCTTTTGTTTTGTTTTTCATTTTTTTACTCAGAATGTGTTGATGTTACAGCTGTTTAAATTTCCCAAACTTGTTACAACCTTTATTTCCACAATCTTTACACTTCTTCTACAGCATTTGGACATGTTTGTCCTGTTTCACCCAGTGTGTCTCAGTGCTGAGTCCATTTGATCTGAGCTCAGCATTTTCTCTTCAGAACCGGACATGAAATATTTTGAACTTGTATCGTTTCATAAATGGATTTGTGTGACAACCATTCACTTCTGACTCTTAAGGTTCACTAATTTTGTTTCAGTACAAATTAGCACAGTAACTGTTTAAGGTTTAACTTCTAGTCTGCATTTCTGCCTGCCTACGTTTGTAAAAGTGCTGGCAGAAAATGAGACATAAATGTTCTGACAAACACAAGGAACAGACGGAACACATCAGGTGCTACACTGCAAGAAATGTCCACCTAACCAAGTTTTAAAATGTTATATCCACCAAAAAAGTCTTTTTGATCTTGTTTTGAGACTAATTTACTAAACAAGAACAGAATGTGTACAATTATTTATCTTAGTTTGGAAATTTGACTCAAACTAAGTGAAATTATCTGCCAATGGAGTAAGACAATTTCACTTGGTAAGATTGTTGAAATAAGAAAAAATTTAGTCAAATTAGGTGATTTCAAGGAGCTTACAAAGTGAAATTGTTTTACTTCATTGACAAATTATTTACTTAATTTTAGTTAAATTTCCACACTAATAATAAATAATCTTAAACAAGACCAATTTTTTTCTGGATATAAGTTTTTAAAACTTTGTTAGAAGTGTCCTGATGCATCTCAGTAATCCAGGTAAAAAAATCAAAAAGAAAAAAAATTGTATAGGTCCTCTGGACGGTTCTTCTCCAATGAAACGTTTCGTCTCTCTTCCAAGAGACTTCTTCAKTCTGAGAGTTTCAGGCAAAATTCAGGCTTTTAAGCACTGCCTCCATGTGACTGATACTCACATCACATGGCTATCGTTGACACCTAATTAACACCTATTGTTAACAGGGGGTGGAGTGATACTGGCAATAGCCGCACTGTAGGAGGGGGACAACTGAAAACGGAGGCCTCCACCTCTGTTTAATGATGGACGGTCTTTCTTCACAAAAATGGCTTCTTTTACTCCTCTCTCAAACCAACGTTCCTCTCTATCAAGAATGAGAACATCCTCATCTCTGAAAGAGTGACCGCTGGCCTGTAAATGAGTGAAAACTGCAGAGTTCTGGCCGTTAGACGTAGCTAGCTAACACAGACGAGCTACATCTAATGGCCAGAACTCTGCAGTTTTCACTCATTTACAGGCCAGCGGTCACTCTTTCAGAGATGAGGATGTTCTCATTCTTGATAGAGAGGAACGTTGGTTTGAGAGAGGAGTAAAAGAAGCCATTTTTGTAAAGAAAGACCGTCCATCATTAAACAGAGGTGGAGGCCTCCGTTTTCAGTTGTCCCCCTCCTACAGTGCTGCTATTGCCAGTATCACTCCGCCCCCTGTTAACAATAAGTATTAATTAGGTGTCAACGATAGCCATGTGATGTGAGTATCAGTCACATGGAGGCAGGGCTTAAAAGCCTGAATTTTGCCTGAAACTCTCAGACTGAAGAAGTCTCTTGGAGAAGAGACGAAACGTTTCATTAAAGAAGAACCCGTCCAGAAGACCTATACAATTTTTTTTCTTTTTGTTAGAAGTAGATTTTTTGCAGGGTCTGGTACATGCACTTCTGTTTGTGTTTTTTTTTTTCTGACTGACCATGTGGCACCTCTCAGCTCACAGCCTGGGTGACTGGCAGCTGAAACCACCTGACCTCTTGACCTTGTTCCGTCACATGAGCGTTGCTAAAAACCTTTTGATTTKTGTCAATCAGCGACCCTCCTGGTGTATGAGTATGTTTGACCATCTCCACTGTTCTCACCTTTTTGACATTTTCCTCTCTCATCTGAACACAGATTAAACAACCAGGCAGCCGTCACTCTTTACTGTCCCTAAAGTTTGTCTCTCTTGTTTTCGTCTCTGTCTTCACTTGGATTGTCTCGACAACAGGGAAGTCATTAAAGGAATATTATACTGAATTGATGGTATTTAGCTGTTATCTAATGCTGCTAAAATCATAGGTGGTAAAATGTTAGTTTTAAAGATGAGGATGTACACGGCCTGCAGAGGGCGATCTAATACATTATTTGAGAAAAAACTGTTAAAGGTTTTTATAGGAGAGCTGTCAGCTTTTCTAATTTTTCTTTAAATATATTGGCTGCAAATTGTGTTGTTAATACATCAGACTATGAATGACATTCATTTTTAACCACCAGATTTCATACATAAAACATCAAAGTGAAGTCATGAATCTGTTTCTCCTGCAGGTCAGACGGCACTGCCAGCCTGAGAAATCAGTTCTCCTACATGTCAACATTTGAACTGTTGCTGAGGTTTGCTGTTCCACACAGTTTTAAATATGTTCTTGTGTTGAAGAAGTTCACACTCACACTGTAAAATGCATTTAGTTCTCCAGTATATGAACATTTTTCTTTACCTGTCAGGTTTTATTTTTATTCAGCCACTTCCTGTTGAGACAGATTTGTAGTTTAGKTGGCTTTGTGTCGAGGCAGCTCAGTGGAGCGGCTGGTCAGCACTGCTGCCTGACAGCAAGCAGGTCCTAGGTTTGCAAAGAAAAGAGAAATCTTTCCTTTGTTCAGCCTAAAAACCTTGAAGTATTTGTAAGTTCAGTTTATAAAATCGAAGGCGCACACAAATCCAAAATCCTTGACAAGTTAAAGTCTGAAGAATTTCAATGAAGGTCTTGAATACCTGTTTTGAATACCTGAACAGCAGCTATTTGAAAGCGCTACTGTTATCTGCCGGACAACAGTTTTGGGCTTCAAGGATTTTCTGAGCACCACCTGTGCCACTCTATTTCATTTTCTTTTAATCCCAACGAGCAATTTTTGTCAAAGCTGACGGTGGCCACCTAATACGTTGAAACATATTGATTGCTGCGTGCAACCAGAAAACATGAGAGGAATGCAGCCGACATGCAACTTTCTTCCACTCTTTTGAGAAAAAAAACTTGTTTATGGTGTGAAAGAGTCACTGCACAAAAACTCAATTAAAAGATAAATGAATATTTCTCCTCGCTTCATTTCAGAAGTGCATCATTTATTAACCTTGGCTTTATCTGTTCCATATGTACAAAACACAATTTTGTCAACAAAACTCACTTTTGTAGGAACAACCGTGTCTGTCAGGGGAGCCGGGTGTTGAAGTGTGGGGAAGTTTAAAAAAAAGAATCACAAGATGCTTCGACATTTTGTCCATTTATTGTCAAAAGTCCCTCATTTTCATTTAGTTTTCAGATGTTTGGGA